AAATGACATAATAAGAGCATTATAGATACCTCCTTGAAAAGTCTATGCAAGAAGCTTTTCTCTTTGAAGAGAGAATTGTAAACCACATGAATTTTGCATTTCTGTCTCCCCCCCCCCACCGCCTTGAATCTTCTCAATTTTTATTGCTTTTTTTTTTTAAAGCTGACTTTTCTCCACAAATTAAGCTACCTTCCTGAAATATTTTGAGCCACATTACACTCTCAAGTTTTAGTCTCTTCTTAGAAACTGGGAGTGACTTTCGCACAATTTTGGCAGGCAGACAATGGACATTGAGTTTTGAAGTATCTTTCCTGTCCGAACCTTCCAACTGTTGACACATTTTAAGCCCATCCCCTTTGCAAATTTTATATTTATTGTATAAAACTTCAATTTGTGGTGAAGATGTGTGCCCAAAATATCTTTTTCCAATGAGTTCCATGAAAATATAGAAGAAATCTATCTAATAAAATAACAACAGTTACTGGAGAGGAAGGACAAAACATGATAATGGCAACAATTGGTTATTCTATTTTTGTGACTTCAATTCTCAGGACTCATTGGGGAAAATATTTTACAAGACACAGACATTCTATAGTAAAAAGCTTATGGTTTGCTCTTATAAAGCAGCTTTATAAATATTGGCAAAGTGCCAAGCCGTATATGGAATATATATATTTTAGGCAACACCCTTATCCTGTTTTAATTTAAGTTCATGTCAAGTGTGCAATGGAGAAATTCAAAAAGTTCCTTATATTATGGGATATCTTCCTAGTCACTACAAGTTGAACTTCTATTTTGCTCTTCCTGCCATGTTGTGTCTATTGTCATCCCCTGTATATTTATAGGCAGCCAGAACAGATAATTATAAACCAGCACTAGGTAAGACCACATGCTAAACAGCTTTCTGTATGCAGCCTACTCTATACTTACAGTTTAAAGTGCTCTGAAGATTTTACATAATTTAACTTTTTCCAGAACTTCAAATTCTTTGGGTGATGACCCCTCATTTTAGAAATTTTGAGAAAGACATAGTCCTATCAATCTGCATGAAATACACTCTTTCCATTATGTTTTCCTATAATGTTTATTAATCCATCAATTTTCCATTAAGGTAGGAGGCCAAACACTCATGCCAGTGCTTTTACAAAACACGTAATTGTGCACATATCCTCATTTAGCTCCTCTTGTAGATACCTATGGTGGCAACATGTCTTCTGTTAGCCCTAACCCAGTCCATTTCATCTATTCATTTGTTGGCAGGCTGAAAAATTTTATATCTTTGAATTGAGCTTTTCTTTGGGCATTGTTTTGCTTATTTTGGGGTCAGTTGAAATCTCTGTTTTGATGTAGAAAGTGCAAGTCCCTGATTACCAATTAATGGTCATTCTTTTTTTTTAGTTTCAATTGTTTTTGTATTTTGTTTCTTAATATTTTGTAAGTAATCAAGTTGGACATTCAAATAAATGCCTTGAATAAATGTTTCATAAGGCAATCTAGTTTATTATGTCACATGCTACCTGTTGGCATATATTATATGTCATATTGTGTTATATTAAACATGCGTTTTTGTGTATTTTTCAACTTCTGCACTACTATTGCATTCCTGTCTAATTGTGACAACTGATAATCAACATAGGTAGGAAACTAATTCTTCTTTGAAAAGGTTGATATGTTCTACTGAATGTAGTAGAAATTTATCCAAATATTCTCCAACCTACTTAAGTTAGGTTCAGACTTTCTTCTAGGTAATCTTTTGCCTGAGGTAGATATAGCTGTTGACTTTCTTTTGTTCCTGATTTTCAGATTATTGGGGAAGAAATGGAATTAATTACTAAATATGTCTTCTTAAACTTCTTTTTCAAGCCTTCTAACTTGCCATTAAATTCAGTTATCTTTGAAGGTTTTCACTATTGTAGAAGCAAGAGAGAGACATTGTCACCAGCAAAACATAGGTGATTAAAATATTCATCACTGACCTTTATTTCTACCTTGGACCATTTCATCTTTTTGAATGTGTACAATATAGTACATAATTTGTAGTAAAAATATAACAACAAAAATGCATATCTTTAATTGTTACTTTCAGCATTATATATATTTAGGAGTCCAAACTGATACGTTGTACAATTAATGTTCCAATTAAGACTTCTAATCAAAATTTTTTGAACTGTGTTAAAAACATCACAAATTAAAACAATGTTTACTGCTACCTTTCGGCAGCATAAAATTAAAAGCTATTTGTCAAGTAGGTACAATTGGGGTAACATACTATGTATGGAGTATTTTAAGATACATTCTTGCTTTTTTACTGATAGCTACTCACCCCCCCAATCAAAGATATATATTGTTCTTAATATTAATCCTAAAATTTATTCCAATGCTACCTTTGACTGTTCTTTGTTTCCAATAAAATAATGAAACAATCGTGTTTTCCCAAAAATATGACATACCCTGAAAACAAGCCTTAGCCTGATTCTTTGGGATGGGCCTAATATATCCCCAAAATAAGCCTTAGTGAAGAGGGTGGATGTGGCCAGCAAAGGAGGCATCCTTGCCTTCTTTGGTCACCTCATGGAGGCTCAGTCCCGTAATCACAGCCCTGTGGATTAGCTGAGCCAGTGAGAGCTGGTAGTTGCTTCTCCTTGTGTCTCTCTGGGTGCCTGGAGATGTTTCTGGCACACTCTTGTCAGCCCAGGCTCTTTTAACACCATAATCGCAGGAAAATCCCTCCCATCACGGTTTGATTTTGCTTTGTGAAGCTTTGTGCCAAGAAAGTTCTGTGCTGTTTTCCTTTCTCTCCCCCCCTCCAGCTGTCCATCTCAGCTTTCATGTTCTGACCTAGGCTTCCCAAGAGCGTGCAGCAAACTTTGTCCCGACAAAAAACCCTTTCATTAATTTACTGTGAATTCTGCTCATTCACATCCAACAAAGTCTTTCAAGGGAGGATTTACAGTCACATACCTTATCTGGCTTGGAGAGCTGACAGGCCAATATCTGCAAAACTTGGCAAGGAGTCTCGGAGAGTCACGAACCAATTCAGTGTACTAATTGTCTCCTGCAAACCTCCACTCCCTTTTCACTCCTTTTTATTTCCTCTAGGAGGGCCATTTATCATCCACCTGTGGTTTTACTCCCAAGTCGACCCCTGTTCTTTAGCTGTTCTCATCATCTGACAACTCTGTACATGTGCCACTGGGAACAGGCTCCAGCTGCTCATCTGCCTCACTGATGTCTGACTTTGAAGGCAGCTGATAATTGGTATATGGCTCTGGCTCCCTCTCTGCCTCTAACACAAGAGCCTTCCCCAAACTCTAGCACTGGTCCATGTTCCTCCCCAACCTCCTGTCTGAATTTACTACCAGGGGTGGTAGCTCCCTTGCAGGGTGCGATCAAACTTCCAATCCCAACAGACCTGGTGGGCACAAGCTTCTCCTTCCCAGAAAGGGGAAGGAGCTGATGGGGGGGAGAGTGGGGGGAGTTCTGGGACTTGAAATCCACAACCCTTAAGTAGCCAAGTGTTTGTCCATGATGCTATGACCTCACCCTGCTAGGTTGATCCTGCCTGGTAACCGATGAGTCATCCCAACTGAAAACCTCTGGAGTGCCACTGAGGAGGCTATCTTTTAGAAATGCAGATTTGTTAATCCACTCAGAAAGACTGGTAGACAGAAACTCCAGATAAGCAATTAGGTTGACAAGATTAACTCAAACACCTAGGATCTGCATTTTCCCTTCTGCCTATAAAGCCAGCCATAAACCCATAGGAATCTGAAAACAGCCATTAGAATATTAAAGGACATGTTCTTGCACAGGAACATTTTGTCAGCTGTACCAGAATCACATGCTGTTGGTGGTTTTGCTTCATCAATAAACCAACTTTCTTTCCAACCTTCCATTTTATTCCTGGCTTGAAAATGAACCTGAATATTTCTTCCAACAAAAACATTTCATTAGTTCATCAAAAATACTGATCTCTTGTTTATTTATGCCAGAAAGTAGGCAAGTTTTTAAATAACTTACTGGAAAGTTTTTTTTTATTTAATGAGGAGACAGGAGATAACCAGGTAATCTCTCTGGCCAATGATTAGCCTACTGTGCATTTTCTTTTTAACTCAAAAACATATTTTAATATCTGGATATTTTCAGTCATCCAGATCATAGTTGTCTCAAAAGGGGTTTTTTTCCTTCAAAAAGCAAAACCTTTTCTTTCTCAAGAAAAAACAGTCCAATTGCCTTTTGAAGAAAAAAGCACCCTTGAGACATCCCATAGTATGGTAGTTTAGACAATTGGATGAAAACAAGTCCTCTAAAATGCAAAGAAATATAAATCAATCTAGCAAATAATTAAAAAAACTGCTTATTGAAGAAAAGATAAAATCAGAATAAAGAAGAGTATAATTATTAGGCCAAGCTAGATTTCGTTCCTGAGATGAATAACACTGTTTAGAGATCACAGACTGAACAGAATCTTGTGCACTGGTCTTGGTGGTTCAGTAAACCAAAAAAATGAAGGAGTAAGTGGAATATTCCTAGGGGGAAAAAAGCAATGTTTTTTTTTTTTAAAAAAAAGTGGATACCAATTAATTGCTTCCCGCTTGGTCCTTTAATTCGCTGAGGCTCCTCTTACAGTGGGCTGCGCAATCCAGCGAGGAGGGAACATGCCCCGCGCGCTGCCAACAAGGGAGCCTTTCTAGCTACTCAGGTGTAGGAATGAGGCTGTGCCACGTAGCAACGCGGAGAATGGAAGCTGGGGAAAGCAGCCTATCGGTGGGCTGATCTCCCGCCTTTCAGGTTTGAATTTTCGTTGAAGGCAACTTCGTTTTCCAAGTCACCGTGGCATGGATTTAAACCAAATACCTTAAAGTCGCGCTCCAAACAACATTTTTGGAGGACGGCGGTACTGGCTGGTGGCCAGGCCTTGTTTTTCTCACCCAAGGAAACTTGCGCCCCACTTCCGCGTCCTGGCTCCGCCCATTGCTAAACAGCGAAGGGGCTGGGAATTCTTCCTCTTCACCCGCGCCCCTGCCCTCCCACTCTCCACGTTTGCAGTTTGGGGAAGCCGGGATTTCAGCCGAACTTGCTCTTGAATATTCTCCTCGTTGTGTTCGCTCCTCGCAATAGCTATGCCGAGAATGGGGTCGACCGGGAGGCGGCGACACCGCTGCTGCTCGCCCCTGCTCCTTGCTTTGCTAGTTAGTTGCGTAGCATGCCAGGCTCCGCCGGTGCCGGCTGGGGAGACCCACTGGGATGGAAAAGACGTGTTGATCGAGCGCAAGTACGTGCCGGACAAATGCCTGCGCACCGTTGTTTCCGGCGATTTCGTACGCTACCATTACCATGGCACTTTGTCCGACGGCAAAAAATTCGATTCCAGGTAGCCCCGCTTTTTCCTTCGCCGGCGTGGCGCTGCGGGTGGGGAGGCGGCGGCCAGGTATAGTGCAAATGGGGGCAGATCCGGGACACAAGTTTGGGTTATTTGACTCCAGAGGAAACTCCAGTCAATGGGCCCGTTGGCAGGAAGATGAACTCAAGTTATCAGTCTCGGGGAAGAACTCAACTTTTCTATGCAGAATCTCGGTTTCTGGTCTTTGGGATCCAATACAGAAACTGGCACTGGAAAGACCGTCGCTTTATCAGACGTGGGAAAGTCATTGGAGTCAGTAGGAAAAGCTTTATGGTCATTAAGCAGCACAGAGGAAATCGATATGCATATATCCAAAGCTGAATTGAAAATATCGAAATAATTAGGGGAAATACAGACAAAGATGTTTGAGTAATTTTTTTTATTAAAAGTAGATACGGTTACTCAAACTACAGAAGAGTTACCGTGATTTGGAAGTGGGGCAACATTGTAGGTTTACTCTTCCAGAACAATCAGAAAAAAACAGGAGCCACTCTTGGAGGGAATACATACACACCACATCTTAATGTACAGTAATATTAATCTGATCTGGAAAGCTGGTAGAAGTGGAGAAGCCATTTCCAAGATTATCATTGAGGGAAAGTGCTGCAGATTGTAATTAGCAAATGCTAAAACTAACACTTTGCATCTGCTTGTCTGAAAATATGTTTTTTTTTTCAAATGGCAACTGGACTTTCTTGATTTTTCTTGAAGACATTTAGGCATTAAAGACATTTCACTTCTCATCCAAGAAGTTTCTTCAATTCAGACTAACTGTTGGGGAATGGAAGGATTTATGCTCTTTGCAGTCAGCCAATTATTAATACTGAGGGATTCTGAGGTAGTTGAATTATCTGGCAGTTAGCCTGTGCCATTAGAGAATAAATCCTTCCATTTCTCACCAGATACTTGAACTGAAGAACTTCTTAAATGAGAAGTGAAATGTCTAACAAAAATAAACGAAGTTTGAAAAAGCATCTTTTGGGACAATGTAGATGTTTATTAACCCAGATGACTGACAATTTCTATAGACATCCTGCTGCAAATGTGTCCTCCAGGGAATATGATGAAATTTTAAAGAACAACTTGCTTCAGTTGGATTTTGGATGTGAGCATGTGATCTAAACTTCTTTTTGGAATGGATCTAATTTCATGTATGCAGCTGATATTCTGAAGAAGAATGATTTATCTTTATAATTTATATGAGCCACAATGTTTTTTTGGATGTAGTAAGCATCAGATTATGTGATTATTATTATTAGGCTGTTCATTGGAATTTATGAGGTATGTAAGGAACGTTTAATAGGGTCTTCTTTATTTTACAGTCAGAAAGAACAAAAACTACAGAGGAAACAAAGAATCTGCATGGGATTTAGATGGAACCCAGTGATGTTCTCGGATGTAAAAATAATGCTGGATATAATATGCTTTGTAGTGTATCACCTTATAGTTTATATTAAAAAAATTAAAGACAAATATATACAAAGTATCATGTCACACCTATTTTTAAATTGTAAATTGGCTTAAAGGAAATAAAAAATAAGCTATGTAAATGAAATGTAATATTTGAATGTTTATTTAACTGATCTAAAAATTCATTCTTTTCTAGCTATGACAGGGGCTCAACATTCAATGTTTTTGTGGGGAAAAATCAGCTTATTGCTGGGATGGAGAAGGCTCTGCTTGGCATGTGTGTAAATGAAAGACGATTTGTAAGGATTCCATCCCATCTTGAATATGGAAATGACAGAGTTTGTAAGTACAGTTTTCTATACTTTTTGATGCCTAAATATAATGAGTCAGGGCAGGTTTATTAAACTGTAGTTAAAATGTGAGGCTTTAAAAATTAATTTAACCTATGTATTATGGATTTATTGTTGCCCAATTCATCTTGTATTATCTATAGTTTTGAATATGACAGTATATCCAATTCCCAAACTCTTGAGTATTCATAATTTCCAAGGCACTAAAAGCATATATAGATTAAGGATTGAGCCAATGATTCTATCCAGTTTTTTGTCTTATGTTTAAAAGCATACATATAATATTTAAATAGCCTAGAGCAGTGATGGCAAACCTTTTTTTGCCTCAGGTGCCAAAAGCACGTGCACCAGTGCTATCGTGCACGCTCGCGTGCCCACCCCATAATTTAATGCCCCTCTGCACATGTGCGTATGACCCCCCCCCTGCTTCCACCATGCATGTGCGCACAGCTCTCTTGGAGCCTAGGGAGGGTGAAAACGGCCTCCCCTGCCCGCCCGAGGCCCTCCGGAGGCCGGAAATGACCCGTTTTGTGACTTCTGGTGGGCCTACTAGGTCCTCCCCAGGCTCCAGGGGCTTTCTAAGCGCCTGGGGAGGGTAAAAAATGGCCCAACATGTAAACCAGAAGTTTGGGAACTGACTTCCGGGTTGTCCTTTTGACATTTTTCTCCTTCAAGTAGCCCAACGTGCAAACTGGAAGTCCATTCTCAAACTTCCGGTTTGCGCATTGGGCGGTTTTTCGCACTTCAGAGGGCAAAAAACAGGCAGATATCAAGGCCAAAAAACAGAGCAATGCCTCGTGTGCCAAAGTTGTCAAAAACACTTTTCCAGCTTCCCTTCTTTCTGCATACACTCGTATTTTGTCCATTAATGCGTTAATCTGATGTCTTATCTTTGTTTTCTATATTTCTTTTCTTTGGTCTCTGGGGCTCCAACCCCCTCCTCTTTTACTGTAGCACCCCATAGATGTCCCATTTCTTGTCAAATCTCTCAAGTCCTTTTGAAATGTTTTGAAGTCCAGCCAGGATGTTTTGGATTATTAGGTTTTCTTCCTCTGAATATTGATCCATTTTTCAAAATGTAAAGAAATATAAAGAAAATAGGAAAAGGAATCTGCCACTCTAGCCTATCAAAATTTTAGGGGATGTGCTGTATTTATTTTAAAT